TTAGTGCTTATTTTTTCCATTTAATCTTATCTTATATTTATTTAAAATTCTGTTTAGTTTTTACCCCTCTGCTGTCAAAAGCTAATTGGGTATTGTCATCACCCCACCGGGTGGGCAGGTGGGTGACGTGGACACCCAAGTTCATGAATGCAATAACTGGAGAACGAAGCAACGTAGGAGATTAAAATTGATACCACAGTGTGTCCACTAGGAGGCTGAGGGGTAGCACTGGTGTTTGCCAGTATTTTTGTTCTGTCATGGTGCTTTTTATTTAATTCATGTTTTATATATATGTACCATTGTACTTAATCTTTTTTTTTTTTTTTTACATTTTGTGCTTTAGCTTTTTTTTATAACTGTTATAACAAAGTAACTTTTTACTACTACTGAGACCTTTGATAATGGTGATCATTTCTGGCCCAATCAAATACAAGAATCTTCAATCGGAGATTTAAAATTTTAACTGAATATTTTTTTAGTGTTTTAAACCAGCCTTACAAAGTGTAAAATAGACTTATGAAGGAAGCATTTGACTGTAAACCACTTAAATTTACATAATGACATTTAATATCTCATCTATGATATATTCTCCTGTCTTCATATATAGGTTGGTGATGAGATTGTGCGTATCAATGGATACTCAATTTCCTCCTGTATCCACGAGGAGGTCATCAGTCTCATCAAGACAAAGAATGTCGTGTCACTCAAAGTTCGACGTAGGTTAACCGCAGACTTTGTGTCCATTAGTAGTGCCATTACATGATCTAACTTGTGTTATCTTATTTATTTTTCTGTGCAGACGTGGGGATGATCCCAGTGAAAACGTGAGATATGAATCCACTTGTGTATTTCTGTTGTAACAAACTGTGCCGTGCTTTAGAATACTGCTGCTGTGCAGGGCTGAATTCTCATAGTTTTTTCTCATTTCTCCAGCTCATCAGATGAACCCCTGAAGTGGCAGTTTGTCGACCAGTTTGTTTCTGAATCGGGGGTGAGAGATGAACTGCTACTTTCTTCTTAATGGTGTTTGTTTAGCAGCCAGCTAAAATGCTTCTCCTGTACTCTTCAAGGAGAAAAAAAGCAGCGTGGCCGGTTTGGCATCCATTGGAGGAAAGGAGATCAAGGAGAAGAAAGTTTTCCTCAGTCTTGTGGGTACCAAGGGCATGGGCATCAGCATATCCAGTGGTCCAACCCAAAAACCTGGTATATACATCAGTAACGTCAAGCCAGGCTCCCTCTCTGCAGAAGTTGGGCTTGAGGTGATTTTTTTCTAAAAGACTGCAGAGATCGTTTTAAATTATGATACTCATAAATCTATTGACAGTGAATATGTGCGTCATATCAAAATGTAGGCTGGAGACCAGATTGTGGAGGTGAACGGAGTGGATTTCACTAACATGGACCACAGAGACGTATGTTTTGCTTAATTTAATTATTTTTATATGTTTTTATTTCCTTTTTTTAAAAAAAAAATTTCTCTTTGTTTTATAAAACTATGCCTCTCATTGTAGTAAAAGCTAAGCCCTCTCTCACTGCTTGTGTTTGTTCTCAGCTTAAATCACTGAGGTGCTTTACCAAAGCCAAATTAGTGTTTAACCAGCAAAAATCCTTCCTGTGGCTGAAGGCCAAAACCGAGCTTGCAGCATGTTCCTATATTTAGCTGAATAATTCGCACGCTGATGAATGCAAATAGGACACACAACGCAGACTCCAGAGATTGTCTGTTTTTTCTCTTTAATTTCATAAAACTGAACTTTACAAGTGCTATTTAAAGTCCTCTGTTTCAACATTTGCAGGCCGTGAAAGTCCTGAAGAGCAGCAGAAGTTTGACTATTACAGTTCTGGCAGGAGCTGTAAGTACACTCTTGTTTTGAATACAAACTGGCATCGGACAAAAAAAATCAGTATTAAAGGATATGATTGCTGAATCTGGCCAGTTTATATTGGTAACCTGAAAATGACAATTTAATGCAGTCTTGGATGCTAAGTGAAATTTGAGGATTTATTTGGCCTTATTTTCTGCCACTTGCCTGTTAA